ATAAGAAAAAATATTATCGACCATACGCTTGCTCCAGGCATTGTGGCTAGTGCCTCTGGATACACAACAAATACTAAGCCAGGACCTTCCTGAAAGCAATGTTCTGAAGCCAGCCTCACAACTGGTTCTGTTTCTTAACCAAATTAACAATGGCCGATTAAAAGCCTCAAGCATTATTAGCGCGGATACTGAGCACCGATTGAAGTAAATAACCTGAGCCACATCCTGAATCGGCTTACCACTTTTGCATGACATGTAGCCAAGGACCTGAAAAGAAGTTTGTCCATTTGAAAAAAAAAAATTTATCTACATAGAAATTTCGACTTCAACCCGAGTCAGAGAATAACCACTTTGACGCGAAAGAAAATGAACAAAAATGGGCACGCACCGAAAAAATGACGAAACCAGACAAGAAACTAGTGCCGCAATTAATCGTGCTAGTTATTAAAGCATCACTGCAAATAATCCTTTTTATAGTAATGCAAATGGTGTGATATTAGACGGAAAAAATGCTTTGTACTTAGAAATGAGATGGCTGAAAAAAACTTAGAAAAAAATTGGAATTTAAAACTGACATATAGACATTGTTGTGGAAGTTGTTGTAAGACGCGTATGCCATTAGTACTCCAAAACCTGGACCAAGGGAGAAAAATACCTAAAACAAATCAAAATAATGCGCTCTTGAGGGTATTGTTCAGAGTCAAAAGTAATTTGGAGAAAACCTGAGTTGCTGCATCTTGCCAAACACTTGGTTGACTTAGCATTGTTATATTCGGCCGTAAGTAATAGTCGATACCCTTTTCAGCTCCTGGTAACGTTATTCCACGAACAAATAGTATAGCTAAGACAACGTAGGGAAATATTGCTGTGAACCATACAACCTGGATTTTTCAGACAGATATGAGCCTTGTTTCATTAGACGTTCAGCATGCTTTAGTTTTCAGAAATACTTTATGCTCTAAGATCATAATTAGGCAAAAAACAGCTATAGATCACCAAACACAATTCTGTGGGGAACTGTTAAACTAGACTAGTATCTGTAGCAAAGGCCAAGCTCAAAATTCACTGACGCACTGTTTTTGCCAGAGGTAATTTAGAAAAAAGATTTTATATTTGAATTACCTTTCCACTCATTTTGATGCCTTTCCACAAAGAAAAGTAACAGACAACATAGACGAGAAATAAACACAAAGCTCGTTCCCAGTTGATTGGACCTGGATTCGAAATCGACGCTGCCACTGACGAATTTGGGGCTCCAAAGTAGTGGAGGCCGAGGTAGTATTTGCTAAAAGCAGTTACAATCACTAATCAATAAAAGTTTGAAAAATCCGGACAATTGAAATCAAGAAATTTTTTCGCAATAGTATCGTTTTCTTAAACTTTTGAGTGTCGGAAGTGGCTTTAAACTAAAAGTTTGTTACTTCAATAACTATAATTGTTGTAACTAATATTACTATTTATTTACTATTTATTTTATACATCAAGTGTTTGCCTATACAGATAGCAAAAGTGAAATCGCTTACTAAAAATATTCTTCTGTTGCTGAGATTCCGCTTGCTAAAGACCCGTTTGACGCGGCGCATTCAGTACTGTTATCTTGGCTCCACCTGAAACCAATAATGCTGTTTTAGAAGCTTGCATGCTAGTGCTATTTGAACAAAAACACCTGGCAAAAATTATGAAAACTCGAAAAGATTTTTTTTTTGAAAGAAAAAGAACACTGTTCTCAATTCAATTTTGATAGCACCTACGTTGGTTCATAACAACTTTGACTATTGTAGTCATTATCACAGGAAGCCCAAGGAAGATTACTGGTAAACGAGGAAAAGAAAAAGTGTAATGCCCAAGCGATGATAACGTTGTAGAAGAAATCTACGTATAATGCTATCATAATCACACAGTAACCAATTCCTGAACGTTTTTCAGTATAGTTTTCTTTGTTACTCAATAAATCCACAGTAATCACCATACAGAAATAAACATATAAACTGCAGGATTTTTTCTTTTCTTTCTATACCTTTAAATAGTCTCATAGGCATAGATACAAAACACTACTTTGTTAAATAGCAGAAAAATAATAAGCAATAAAATTGTGTAGTAAACTGTAATATAAATATAACATAGGAAAAAAAAAATTTGTTTTCTCAATTAAACCTTTAAAAAGTGGACAGATTTTTCCCCACGTCGTAACAGCACCTTTTCGATAATACTGTCCCAACGACAGTTCCATGTAGAATAATGGTATGCCCGCAAGTAGCACCATTAATGTGTAAGGAATCAAAAATGCTCCTAAACATTACAGTATTTTCCTTTTTAAAGAATATCTGAAACCGTTATTGTTGAAATAAGACATACTGTTATTGTAGTTATTAAACCATCAGTTTTGTCAAATAAACTTATTTTCAGGAAAAATATTAGTATGCATTGCAAACCACAGTAGAATAATAGAAATTAACAATAACTGTTTTTTTCATTGGTCAGTCCTGATACAAGTTCTTACCTCCTCCATTTTTGAAGCACAAATATGGGAATCTCCATACATTTGCCAAATCGACAGCAAATCCAACTACTGAAAGTAGAAAATCGACCTTGGTAGTCCAGGTCTCTCTATCTCCACGTCCTACTAGTATCAGAGAGACCAAGCTTTTCTGTGACTTCTGGTCACCCTCATCTACAGCTTTCTCTTGCAGTTTCGACGTACTGCCTTGGCTATTGCTGACTTGAGCGATTTTGTTGAAGGCGTACTCCTCTGAGAAAGTTTAAATAATATAACAGTGCTCTTATCCTTTCCTTCGTGTATCTCTTTTTGTATTTTTTATTATCACATATATGCAATCAAAATACCAAAAGCAATCTGTTTTCTATTATTGTTATTGCAAGAAACAAAATTTTTACATAAGATAAAGTTTTGCAAAAAAAAAGAAAAAGAAGAAAGTAATTATACTTTTGTTAAAAGCTCAGAATTTTAGACAGCTATTCCATCAAATTTTTGAGAGTTTTTTGTTTAAACTGTTCTGAAACTGAGTTACTTTACCATTTTTTTTCTAAATTTTCTACTTTTTGGAAAGACACTTTTGTTTTTTAACTTTACTACACTAAAGATCAGCGTGCATTTTGAAAATCTTGAAAAGTCTATAACTTAAAAAAAAAAGCAGTGATTGCAACTTAAAAAGGAAATAAAGCTTAGTATAGAACTTACCCATAGAATATGGTAAAGAATTGTGGAAAGCAGTGAAATTTTTTAACGCCAGAAAAAGTGGATAAAGTATAAAGTGTAGCTGGAGGAAGAAAAGTTTTATGAAGCTTGAAGTTGGTTCAAGTTTGTTCGGCAAATTTGACATCTCGCTGACAATAACTCAAGTTGCGTTTACACCCAATACGTCAATTATTTGTCGAATATATTATTTAATTCTCATTTGAAAAGTATCATTCTTATGGAAGTTAAAAATCCAAATGTTGATTTCCTCCTTACACTCATTTTCTTGCTTCTCCAATCTTCATTTGCGTATACTGCGTAAACTGACACTACAAATATTAGAAGACAACACAAAGCAGAACGAAGACTAAGTGTTAAAATGATAGACTGTGTGATAAGATAGCATCAAAGCCAGTACTAAATGCCATGCAATTTTACTTTAATTCACAATTCTATCATTATTATTATTATTATTATTATTTTTTTTTTTTTTTTTT